GCATTAGACGAATACCTTGAATCTCATTGCCATCAAAGGTGTCATTATAAACCCTGGATGAACAGCGTTTGCTGTGATGTCAACTCCTTCGGCCTAATCAGCGAAAGAGAAAACATTGGCAAAAGAGAAAGGTGGGAGAGATTTCAAAGCATTAGATGAATACCTTGAATCTTATTGCCAGTTCTTTGGCATGGAAAAAGTTCGCAAGCTTGGATTGACTGTATGCTCTAGTGTCGGAGTACCTTTTGGAAGAAAAAAGGAATAATGTAAGCTCACTACAAAAGAGAGTTGTTTGGCGTACCAGGTTTTGTCATTAAGGTGTGAGAACTGGATTCCACCGCTGTAAGAGGCGATATGTGCGACGGAGGAGAGATTGAACCTTTTGGAAGAAGAAAGGAATAATGTAAGCTCACGACAAAAGAGAGTTCTTTGGCGTACCAGGTTTTGTCATTAAGGTGTGAGAACTGGATTCCACCGCTGTAAGAGGCGATATGCGCGACGGAGGAGAGATTGAACCTTTTGGAAGAAAAAAGGAATAATGTAAGCTCACGACAAAAGAGAGCGTACCAGGTTTTGTCATTAAGGTGTGAGAACTGGATTCCACCGCTGTAAGAGGCGATATGCGCAACAGAGGAGAGATTGACAAACACTTTCCTTAGCGGTCTCCTTCATTTTGTCCAGTAGCAAGTTTGTGAGAAGAAAATGGCCTAGACATCACAACAAGATAGAAAAGATACCTATGTATACACGGAAAATCATGGATTTCTTTTGATCAAGTTCGAATTTTTCCTCATACCTTGTAAAGTTCCATCACTTTGGAGGTGGGCTTCGAAGCATCATGCCAGGCATGGCCATTTGCCATCTCTGGGCACAGCAATGGCTGGAGTATGTGCCGTCCCAAAGAAGTGTGGACCAAAACTCAAGCAAATGGCGATATCTGGAGGAGCTCACCACGATCTAAACCACACCTTTGATCACCACCTTCACCACAGAAATGAAAATCCATGAGATGATCCAACTATAGTGGCTTGGAGCTTACCTGCGTTGAGCTTAGAGTTGTCAAGATGTTGGCAGCTGCCATAAGAGCAAGCAATCCACTGTCGTCATGACCAACGAGCACGACCAATGAGAATTTTAGTTGCTGGCAAAAGCTCAGCAGCAAATCCACCTGCCAGCTCTAATCAGAGAAATCAAACAAGCAAGAACAACAGGAAAAACTTTCTTCTTTTGTTTTTTAAACGACAATGAATAGAACACTCACTTGAGACTGGTGCTTGTAAGGATTGGGAAGACCATCTTTGTCACGGCCACTTTTTTTGCACGGCTGGCTCGTCACTCCCCAGCCAGTCCGATCAAACGCAGCAAATAGAAAATTTCAGCACATACACACACACACACACACAGACATAGAGAGAGAGAGAGACACAGAGAGAGAGAGAGAGAGAGCTCACAATCTGCCCAATCGCCCTAAATTTTTTCTCTTGATTTGGATCGTCATTAAAAAATTGAAGAGTTGCCACCCCTTTGGCACTTGATCTATGCCATATATTTGAAGTTTTTGAATTTGAACCGTTAGATTATAGGTATATTCAGAAATAATATTCTAAAAATGGAATAAAAGACGCCGGATGCCATATGCCAATAGCACGTTTAAATAAGGGAGTATGATTACTAGCAGAGACCCCAGCTCCATTGAGAGATATAGCATACCCAAAATAAATAAATCTTCTTTTCTAATTTTACAATATAAGAAATTTTGATTGTATACAAGGTTAAATTTATCCAAGTTTTGCTACTATTCATCTCCAGAAAAATGCATAATAATGCATTAGATAATAATACAAGTGTTGGGGAAGATAAGATCATTTTTAATCATCAATAAATTTGAATTTGAATTTTTTATTGCCTTTATGGAAAGGTACCAAACCCTAAACATAAACAAGATTGCTGCCATACTTTAAAAGCAATTGAGTTTTCATAAAACTGAAGAATTATAGAATACCAAAAAATAATAGGTTAGTTTGGAGAAATTATAAGTTTGATTGCATACTGAGCTAAATTTTTTTATCTGAACTGTAATCATTCCTCTAACTTTCATAGTTTACAAAAGAATAATAGAACTTTTATTATGTGTCTGGTTTTACATTTAAAAATATACATAATTAAATTTACCTAGATATTCACACTACATTAGAGGTGTTGAAAACACAAAGATAATAATTATATTAGAGATATAATGTTTGTATTAAGAAAAATTTGTACTAATGCTTTATGATAAAATTATGCATTCATGTCTCATATATGACATGGTATCTAATATGGTATAAAAAATCTCATACACATACAAATATCAAATCCATTTCCTAATAATATCTCAAAAATAATTTCAATTAGTCTTCTTGCTCATAATCTTACTGTAGTCTACCAGCAGCTTTACATGATTTTTATTGTTTGTCTCAATATTTATACAATGATTTATTTGCTATTTTAGCTTATGTTATTATTATATAAAGGCAATAAAACATAAAATTCAAATTTAATGATTATAAAAAAATGGCTTTGGAAAAGGGAGAAAAAGACAAGCTCGAGGATTCAAGCTTAGGAAAGTAAACTTGAGAGGTTGAAGGTTAGGACTGTATTCCTAACCTTGACGTGAGTAGTAGCGACTATAAACGTAGGACTTAGAATGTTTTTAGATTTATCCCTAATACAAAATACATTGCAATACATCGTCATTCTGCCTATCTCTTCGGCTCTTCACAGCAATGTCTTACTTACCCACCGCCTTCAAGGGATCAAAGGCGTGGGACTAGCACCTTCTTGCTCGTGTCTACAATCTCGTCTTGCATTGGCACAAGCAGGTAAGTGCTCGCTTCTCGTAGTGTAGTTTTAGTTTTAGGGACTAGATTAGATTTGAAACTCCTAGGAAGATCTCGTGTGGACGTTTCCTCCCAGTTTAGAGATTCCAGGAGTTTTCACTGGCGACCACGGTGGGATAGGCGAAGTGAAGAGCACCCAAAGAATGAAGATTGGCAGCCTTGGCTACAACTAGAAGACGAAGCTGAAGTCAAGAATCAAGGGAAAAATAAAAAAGAAACAAAAAGAAGAAAACAAAACGAAAAAGAAGAAAATCGACAAAATCCTAGAGCAAGAAGCATGGAAATCATGCTAGAGACCAAGCGTTTGAAGGCTACAATCATCTAGAGATCGCCCACTTCTCGAAAAGTCCAAGAATCTTCCATAACCGCCTCTTGGCGAGAGGTCGAAGACGAAGAATATTCTGTATATCAGAATATTCGAAGAATCTCCGACAAGAAAATCAGAGCAAACAAGTGCTAACAAGCATGAAAACATGAAGAATGAAAAAGCACGACTGCCCATTTGGAGATACAAGCTACACAAGATACGAGGACTGCCTTGTGTGGATTCAGAAATTGTGCTAAACCATACAAGCAATGCTATCCAAAATGGCGATGCGACACTTGCAAACAAGCAAAAGCAAGACTGTGAATCAGGGATGACATTGCTGCAACGGAAGAGAGAAAGAAACGAGAAGAAATAGCCCACGAAAATGACACCAAAAAGAGTGACGATAGTTTAAAAAAAAGAAGAAAAACAGAGCACTAGTTGCTTTCAAGAATTCAAAGAAACAGTCTTGCGACTATTACACAATTTGTCCAGCAAATTGAAAGAACCAAAGGGGAGGAATGATAAAAGAGAATGAACAATCATCAAAATTTTGTAGCCCACATGAGGAGAGCGATAACAATGACGCAAAATGGAAATTTTGGGCTTGCACGAGAGACCAGCGAGATGAGGAAATCCCTCGATAGATGCAAGACTCTCAAAACTTTTTAGAAGCCATCAGGCAGCTACCATCTGAGATTCAGGAACGAATCTTTAATTTAGTTCACAACACATTAGACAAGGAGAACTATACACCAATTTGCAATGGCACTATCATACACGGCACACAGTTTATAGGAAAACAAGATAAACAAGAATTGTATACGTGGAGAATCATCCTCGAGCTCTCGTGGAGATCTTTCGTGTACATCGATCAAGAATTTATTTGTCTTAAGGAAGAAGTTGAGTGGCATACTTGGGACGCTGTCACTCGAATTTACAAAGAAATTCCAAGGTTCCTGCTTAGAGAAATACAGGAAATACTTGGACAGCAATTTGTAAGAGGATTTATTACACCGGTTGGAAGCGCAATACATAAGCTTACTGACCTCAAGATAAAGGAAGGACTGTGGGCAAAAGAGTGCTGGATAGATCCGCGCACGCATAGGCTTAAAGCAACAAAAATTTGTTGGAATCCATACCTTGACGTGTGGACACCATTTGAGAAGAAAAACATACAGGAATCACGAAGTTGGAAACCCGTATCAATCGGAGAAGGAGAAGTGAGAACATTAAAAATACAACCACTGCTGTATTCAGCATTTTCAAATATTACTATCGACTGGGAAACACAAATGCTCATAGTGAGAGCTCGCATTCCCGTACGACCAACATATTGTAAGAGACCAAAACAATTATTCAAGAATTTAGAAAAGATTGGACTCCTAAAGAGAGTTGCAATCGTTTGCATACCTGCTCGATCCCAAAGTTGGAGAGCAGCACCAAATATTACTAGCAAACAGCTACACCGATCAATTTATGACACAACCGACCTCCTTCCAACAAACAAAATCATGCTTACTTACACCACCAAATTTTTCAAATACAAGACCTTTCCTGAGCTAGACTCATGAAAGTGACCTCGAGAAGAAACTCGGGAAGAATCGAGAAACAAACACTCGATTGAAGACTCAAGGCATAAGAGCTTGACTTCGCATTTATATGACAAAATACAAACCTGCAAAAGACTCAAGACATAAGAGCTTGACTTTGCAATCTATGAAAAACAACATTTGATTCAACACACCGTAGATGAATCACAAAATTCAGGAAGTTTACCTCGGCATTTAAGTCAAGAAGATTTAGAAAACTGAATGCACAAACATAAACCAGACCCAATCAAGATCCGGGAAAGAGATCTTCGACAAAAGACTCGAGAAGTAAGAAAGGAAGAGATAGAAAAGGAAAAGTTAGAAGAACAGCAACAACAAATCTTAGAAACAATATTAGAGAAGTACGACAAAGACGATAAACAAATTCAAGTACCTGAGTCAAGCAACTCGGCAGAAGACAAAGAAGAACCAAATATTGAAGACGTCCCAGAGTTTGAGCTGTTTGAAGAGGCAAAATTCACAGCACCAGAGTTTTACTCGTATCCTAATTCACCAGAAGAACAACTTATCCAACAAAGTCTACAACAACAAATGGCAATCATCAACCCAGCGACAGCTATAGGGAACATGATTTCCTATCCCATTTTTACTGGTGGAAAAACTGAAGATGCAAACCAGCATCTTAAACAATTTGATCAAATTGTAAAGATGAACAAACAGGAAATGCATCGAGAAATACTTTTCCCATACACACTTAAAGGAAAAGCCCTCGATTGGCACAACACACTCGATGATGCGATAACCCATGATGAAAAGATCACACAATTTAAAGAACAATTCCAGACTGGAGGAACTCAAGAAGAACACTATGAGATCATCAAGAACTTCAAACAAAAACCACGTGAAGGTATTCAAGATTACACTCAAAGATTTAAGTTCCATGCAAAGCGTTGCAAGGATTTGATAACGGAAAAAGGAAAAAGCTTGTCCTATATACAAGGCCTTAAAGAAATCTATAGAAACATGGTAGCACTTGCTGTTGCAGCAGAGAATCCGGATGAAGAAAATGTCGATACACTCTCCAAAGAAATCTTGACATTAGAAAAACGATTTAAGCAATTCACAAAAGCGGGACCTTCACAAACCGATGATAGTTCAGATGATGAAGAAGAGGAAGAAATCCGCATCAAGACAAAGAAGAAACCATCAAAAAACCAAGACTTGAAGGAAATAATCAGGAAAATCTCACAAACCGAACTCAAGGAAGGAGTGTGGTGTACAAAGTGTAAAAATGAAGGACATACATATTTGGAATGCAAATTTGAGCTTCCAAAATGTCAAATTTGCAATAGAGAAGGCCATATAGCCAAGAATTGCCGATTTAGGAATACAATGGAAGTTTCAAGAATCGAGAATACTTCTCGTCGAGAGCCCAATCTTCGATATCAAGGAAACTGGAATCAAAATGCACGACCACCATGCAATGAACCTCCAAGATATAACAATTATTATCAACGTGATGATAATTTGTACAATCAAAGAGGAAACTTTTACCGTCAGAACAATCGCAACTACAATAGAATACCCCCTCAAGATCAAAGACCAAACAACTATTCTGGAAATTATGGAAGAAACTACAATACATATCAGCAACGTGATGGACCTCATGACGACTACCAATGTCCTCCCCCACGAAATTACAATTATGATCAAGAACCATATCGCAACTATAATCAAAGACCACCTCAAGCTCAAGGTTACAATTACAACTAGCGACTTGCACCACAACAAGATAATCGACCTTGGCAACCTTACCAAAATGCAAATCGTGAAAATAACCAAGTCATAAACAATCAAGCTCCAAGAGCAAGACCACCTGCAGCACGGAATGTTGAGGTCAAAGTCGAAGACTCACAAACTTATGAAGAACCAGCAATACGAGCAATCACGAGACAACAATACAAGTATCAACAACCAGATAATTTGGAAGAACAAGATCACGATGATGAACTGGAAATTATCCCAGAAACCAAATGGAAGAAAAGCAAGAAAATACTTAAAGCAATTCAAGCTGAATTGCAAGCACAAGATCCAGAAACAATCAAAGAACACGACAAACAATCAAACAATCAAGAAACAAGAAGTTTTACCCAAGAGGAGCTGGCACCTGTTCAGCAGAAAGAAAAGTTTCATGTGGAAGAGCAAGCTGAAGCAAGGTTGAAGCAAAACCTGGTGGAAGATGAACAGCCTGATCAGATTGAGCAACCAGCAGAAGAAGACAAAGACCTGCAGTGGATAAAGGAGTTTCAGACTCAAGAACTTGAGGTGGTGCTTCCGAAGTTTTGTGAGCAGACGGAGCAGAAGAAAAATTCAATGCCAGAGTTTGACGTGGAACAGGCAGCAGCTGGTCAAGCTGGCTTGGAGCAGAAAGCTGTTGTGAAGAAGAAAGAAGAAGATGTTGGACAACAAAGAGGTGTAGAAGTTTAGAACCTTGTGGAGCAGCCATCAAGAGGAGCCGTATACCCAGGCCAAAGTTTGCACTTGAAGGTGGCTGGTGTGAAGTTGGTGAAGAGACGAGGAAGTGTGTTTCTCAGGTTCTGGTGGGACAGAGGCAAGCTGGTTTCATCCTTTGTAGCTTTGTAGGAGTAGAGGAAGTAAGTAGTAAAGTAGCAAAACTGAAAGCCGTCCAAGAGAAGTCGTGGCTATTTCAAGTCGGATGTTTAAAGTTTCGAGAAGAGGCATTTATGCAACTGATTTCGGGAAGAAGCTGGTCAAATTCAAATCACAAGACTTTGAGGAAGCAGCTCAGACTTATGAAGAGGAGGAAGAGGAGGAGGAGCCACATGAGGGAGCAGCTACCCACGATGCAGCAATGGAGCAGTGACTGCGGGACGCAGCACAAGGCAGTCGTGGGAGAGTGGAAAAGGGAGAAAAAGACAAGCTCGAGGATTCAAGCTTAGGAAAGTAAACTTGAGAGGTTGAAGGTTAGGACTGTATTCCTAACCTTGACGTGAGTAGTAGCGACTATAAACGTAGGACTTATAATGTTTTTAGATTTATCCCTAATACAAAATACATTGCAATACATCGTCATTCTGCCTATCTCTTCGGCTCTTCACAGCAATGTCTTACTTACCCACCGCCTTCAAGGGATCAAAGGCGTGGGACTAGCACCTTCTTGCTCGTGTCTACAATCTCGTCTTGCATTGGCACAAGCAGGTAAGTGCTCGCTTCTCGTAGTGTAGTTTTAGTTTTAGGGACTAGATTAGATTTGAAACTCCTAGGAAGATCTCGTGTGGACGTTTCCTCCCAATTTAGAGATTTCAGGAGTTTTCAGACTTTATCTTCCCTAACACTTGCATTATTGTGCATTTCTCTGAATATGAATAGTAGAAAAATTTAGATAAATTTAACCTTGCATACAATCAAAAGTTCTAACATTATAAAATTAGGAAAGAAGATTTATTTATCTTGGGTATACTATATTTCCCAGTGGAGCTGGGGTCTCTGTTAGTACTCTTTATTTAAAGTTGCTATTTAAAAAGTTAATGGTTTCAAAATAAAGCATAATAATGTGTTATATTTTTGAGAATGATACAACTCCTCTATGAAATATAGACAATAATAATTTTAAATATTGATATTAGATATTTAATAAAATATAAAAATATTATTATACCTCTGAAACCTTTCCAACCAGAACATTCTTTAGCAAAAGATCAAGAGTAACACATTTTATAAATCATAATGCATAAGATAACCACTATGAAATTTAAATGATGAAGAGACAAAATACATGGCAAAGAAAAACATAGAATGAGGAAAGCTTATAGAAATAAGACTTTAAAATTTGAAATGACTGGTTTGTTTGAACTTCTTAAGAAATGTGTTTTAGGCTAAAAAGTAGTAGAACAGCTCCCAATTAAATACCCATGAAAGAAGCAGCAAAAAAGTACCATTATGAATTAGATTGAGGTTATCTAAATGCAGATTGATGTTGAGAAAAATTACATGAATCCCAGAAAATAGATATAATACATAAAGAAATAAATAGATGATATCTTTGAAATTACATAAATTTGCTGTATAAAAATATAATAAGAAATGAATGTGAACACAATTAAAAGTATAAATACAAAGATGAATGATCATAAAATATAAATTCTTTATTGTATATTTTATATTTATATTATTTTAATATGAATTTCAGAACAGTAATTAATCAAGAAATGTTTTATATGAAATAATGTATGTTTCTAGATAAAACTAAACTGTTATTACTAAATTAGTATTTAACAGCAAAAATATTTTCCTCGTCTATTTCACAATGTGCCACCTTTTACTGGTGGAGGCTTGGTCTTAATACACATTCTCATCCTCTAGGTCTCAAACTTCAACTGTTGCATGATGAAATATCACCATTGTGATTATAGATTTGTGATGCATACTTGAATGGAGCTTGGGAGCCTTTGGTATGGCAGTCTATACCTACACAAAACTTAGTTCATTTTCTCAACATTGAGAGTTCTTGCTGCAGTAGATGGATGGGCTCGCTGCAAGTAAAATGCAAGTCGATCATCCTACTACTAGGTAAACCAGGAACACCTTCCTGGTTTTTTAGACCTTTTTAACACGTGAAACTATTGGAAGGAAAAAGAGAAAAGAAATAAGAGATGAACCTCATGAGGAAGAGGCTGGTTGGCTTTTTCACGAGTGTTTGCATTTTCTAGTTGTGCCACTGGCCTTAGCCTGGAAATAAAAAAAGAGATAAAAACTACTAAGCACACAAGAACTTGATAAATAAAAGACATGTTCAAAGTAAGCATACAAGGTCTCCAATGGCTTTTATTACATCACTCTACATACTAACTGCAATGCAATGGAAAACAGTAGCTTAGGATTTAGAAGCCTTCTCCTGTTTCAATTCAGGATTGTTGTTATTGCAATTAACATGTCCCAGAAATCATATCCTCACACAATCTTCACCTAGTATTGGCATGTGAAAATCAATGAACTTGAACCGATAGATGGATGGATGCAAACCATTTTGTTATTTGGCTGTATTTCTCATCATAGGATAAGTCACAGTGCTCAGAAGTTGAACTCTCTAGGCTGCTGCATTATATTCATAAAATAATATTAATAAATCATGTTATCCTTTTTGTTGGCTATCACCACTATCCACACGGCTCAAGCAAGAATTTTCCTCCTGTATCTAGTGATGGCATAATCAATCTACTGGCCAAGATTCTCATTGCCTCAAGTACTATGAATCCTGTAAATTTAACTATAACAAAATTTTAAAAAATAGTTTCAAAAGTGAAGACAAAATTTTTACAATTATATGGATTACTCACAGAAATAGAATAGAGCCCTTAGATTAAAAAATAAGTGGCACTAATAGTCAATATTGCAATGATATGCATTTGGTATATCAGGAAGGAATGGAAAGCAAATCAAACTCATATCTAACATCCAAATCCTCACCCAATATAGAAAAACAACTTTTCACTTCATATGAAATGTTGCAAACAAGATTTTTATCTATTTCAGAGCATTTCAAAATAGATAAAAACCAAAGTCCCTCTTCAATTACCTTAGTAGTGTTATATCCTTGAAATATTGATAATTTTAAAAAACAGTTGCTACATAGGACTGGAATCAGGATCTACTCTCCATTAATGAACGTTTGAGATCAAATTCCCAGAAGTTTACCATCACATGTTTGCTCTCTTTGTATCCTTCACCTGTGATTGCATGTTAAATGTTTATTCTTCTTTGGTTTGTTTGCACAAAAGCCTGGGTTTACTTTGCTTTGATCTTAGCACAGCTTGGTACTGCATGCTTTGATCTAAAAACCACTCAAGTCTAGTGAAAAAAAGCATAGATTACAACTTTACCTTTTTCTTGTAGATCTTGCCTAACATTATAACCGTTAAAACAACACATATATAGTGTTCATGTAGATAAGAGATCACTCATGAGAGAGACTTACAGCCTACTACCACTGCCAGAAACATTTCCTTCCAATTTCTAACTTCGAAACACTAATCTAAATTCTAGAATTTGAATATAATATGAAAATAAAATATGGAGTTTCTTTCAAGAGTTATTGTCATATAAATTCAAGAAGTACATAATTAAATTTTTTTCATATAGATAGTGTTTTGTAATTTTACATCAAGCTTAAAATCTCTGTCATCTGATTTTTTAAATTATTTATACCTAATATTTAAATATAATAGATATCTGAATATATAAATTTTCAAGCTTATATCCCTGTATTCTCTTAATTTTTAGAAAATTGGTAGATTGAAGGTAATGTGGATATAATAAATATTTTGTATAGTGGAGGATGTGCCACAAAAGACCAAGTTCATCAATACAACATCATAATCCATGATAATGTGTATCTTCTTTTGAAAAAATATAACTCTTTTAAAATTTTAATCTATAATTAATTCCCTCTTTATGGAGGCTGTATTCGGGCTGTATTTTTAACTTTGGATATATGCTATTGAAATAAAACCCACCTTCTTCTAGTTTGGCAATTTATCTATTGAAATTAAATAGAGTCCAATAGTTTATTTTTTCTGTGACATATACCAAAGACCACTCCACCACCACCTCTTCTGATTAATCAATCTCCACCAATCTTTAGACTTGGCTTGTTGGTCATGAGCATCTTGCCTTACAAAGTAGTGTTTTTTACTTATAAGAATTAGATATTTGTTTTGTTATACAACATTTTTTTTGGAGATGCTACCAGACTTTCTTTATCTTCCTTAGTGATGGTCATTGTATCAGCAACTGTGTTAGCAAATGTTGTGACTTAGTTATGATTTATTAAATGTCTGTTAAAATGTATTTAAATTTTATATATGTCAGGTGCTCCTTTCTCAAAAGGTCAATGTATAGTTTTTGTATGTAGTTTTGATCAAAGGACACTATTCTAGTCTTAGTGATTTTGTGGAGGCCATGCCCAAAATTTATTATCACAAGTGAATGCCTTGGCCATCATCATTTCCTTCAAGAGATGATAATTGCAAACAAACTAATTTTTGTAAATATAGAAGCAACTAAGTTGTTGTAAGTGACTAAATTTTTGATTCTACTTTGTTCACTTAACTATACCTTTAACATTTAGAAAGAGTCTCACTCACAACCTCTATATATCCTCATTTGCTTTGAAATACTTACTGTAAGCCACAAATTTTTCCTTTCCAATTTGTCAGCTTACCTTGTGTATCCAACCAACACTGCCTTGGCTTTAGCTAAGTTCCCTTGCCAAGGTTCCCGCCTATGGTACCAAATCCTACTTGGTTCTACTTGGTTTCAGCTACTCACTGCACGAGCAATAGAGCATTAGCCATCGATCCACGGATTCCCAAATATCTCCCAATTCCCCTCCCCGGGTTAGACTGGACTTAAGGTTTAGCTACACTCCCCGTAGGTACAAGCAGCCAAGCACACCAAACCTCCAAGTTCCTAACCTCCTTTGGTACCACAAGACTTGATCATGGGACCTTCTAAATCCCAAGTCTTGGGTGTAACACATGCTTCAGGATGCCGGGGCAAAACACCGTGGCCTAATGGCCCGATATAGGTACCTTTACCCCCCCACTTCCATCCCAAAGGAAGGCCCAAGCCCCTAGGAAGGGCGAGGACTAATGAGCCGCAAGGTACTCAAGTGGGGCACCACTCCACATGAGCCAGGAGCACTGTAGTCGGTTTCCCTTTCAGAAGTGGGAGTTGCTCTTGAGCATTTTCTTGGGTGGCCCCTTTGGCACCACCCGAGTCCATACTCATTCCCACCTAAGGCCCCTCGGCCCCAATCTCAACCTCAAGTCAGTTTGGAAGCACCACTGGAGAGTTCCTTCAAGA